AGTAAACATTAGCTAGTTACAATTTTACAATATTTTACAGTATACAATAGTTTTAGCATCAATAAAAACTGTTTAATAATGAGCTGTCATTTGTGAAATCAAAGATGTAATAAACAAATAAGTGAATATCTATTTCTGTGAAAATAAAAGTAGTGTCATTAATAAGCAGTGCTTACAAAAAACAATTTTGTAAGGGCCATTCTGGAAGTTTGGTTAAAGGTTTATCTGATTTCTTAATAATAATAATTAGTATTGATAGTACTATTTGTCACGTGAAAGTTCAGTCATGCAGAGGAGATTAATATTAACTAATAATTATGTGGCCAATGTAGACATTAGTACTAGTCAAGTCTGCTGCATGAATACAGTCTACATTGTTGCTAAGTTAGTATACACAGCAGGGCTAAGGAACATTCAGGAATTACATAGCTACTAATATGTTGATAATGTGCACATCCTCATTGATTTTTGAAAGAGAAAGACATTTACAATGCCCCAGTTATGAGTTTTTAAAAAGCTGTTTGCAATAAGTAAAGGCATTCTCCATGTATGAATCCGAGCACTGTAATCATAATTTAAAGAAAAACTATAATTTCCCAGGAATTTTAATATCCTAGGATTTTTAATAAAATATTTTTCATCTATATTAAGCAAATATGCATGATTGAGGTCAGGGCCAGTGCTAGACTATTTTGCACCTTAAAGAAGACCAGCTATTTGCACCCTCACCTCCAAAACAAAAGGTGCCTCTTCTCCCCAGCACCTTTCGTGTGTGTTGTTCTCCCACAGCTCCTCTTTGTGTGTCCCTCCCCCAGCCCCTTTGCATGTCTGTTTCCCCAGCCCCTTTGCGCGTCTGTTCCCCCAGCCTCTTTGTGTGCCTCTTCTCTAGCCCCTTTTTGTATCTCTCTCCCACCCACTTTGTGTGTCTCTTTTTCCTTTTCACAGCCAGTCACATAGAGACTATGCTGGTATGCCCAAGTTTGCCTAGTGGTCTAGCACTGTTTGAGGTCTAAAAAATAAAATTTACTGTAGAATTCCACACATCTTTATACTTCTACTGCGCACCACCATTTTGGCTCCCTTTCAGCCATTATCACACTTTGACTTGCTCTATCCTTTGTACCTAGCACACAGAAGATATACTGAGAAGAAATTAAACAATGTTTCTATTTTTCACACTTATGTGTCACATGCCTGCGTCTAAAATGAACTGGATTGTGAATTAATTTGCTTAATAATTAATGTGAATTTAAAGAAACTGGAGTATTTAATGAAGAAAATGTTTAACACGAGTCACAGGCAATTTTTTATTATTTTTATTTAGTGGTGTCATTTCTAGAGATGTGATTGTTTCCTTTAACTATATGAGGCCTGAAAATAATTTTTAACTATAATTTAATTACATAATATTGTTGTGTAACATAGATAAAGAATATGTTGAGATCACTTCTTTCACTTAACTTAATTTATTTCGTCCGGTATAGACAGGAACATTTAAAGAATACAAAACAGACACTAAAATCAAAAGACATGCAAGGTTTTTCATGAAATAATTTGCTTTTCTGGATACAGAATAAATCAACTTTGAAGTGCCCTTGTACTGTGTTAATAAAAGTTATAATAAATAAAAATGTATACTGAGTGGTTTACATACAATTTTTATATTTTTCACCAGTGTGATATTAGAACTTTGAACAACATGCCACTCTTCAGTCATATAGCTTGTAATTTTCAAATTAATTCATGTACTGTTATACTAGCAGCACTGATCTAAGTGGGTAAATATTTATTTATTTATTTATATTTTTCTTAGTGGTTTAGGTCCCTCTTGTCATAACTATTCCAGTACCCTAAATATTGATTCTACTTTGTAGTTTGACACAGATGCTATATTAAAGGGACACTATAGGCATCAAAACTAATTTAGCTTAATTAAGTAGTTTTGGTGCATAGATCATGCTCTTGCAGTCTCACTGTTTAATTATCAGCAATTTAGGAGTTAAATCACTTTGTTTATGCAACCCTAGCCACTCCTCCCTGCATGTGACTTACACAGCCTTCCCACCACTTTCTGTAAAGAGTCGTCTAATGTTTACCCTTTATGTTGGAATGTATTATTTTCAAAGTATGTTACACTCATTTGAAAAAAAGCTTTACACACAAAAATGTGGCTTAATGTAGTTGTTCTGGTGTGTATATTCAGTCATTTTAATATAAACACTGCCTTTTCAGAGAAACTTTCAGAGTGACTTTCCCTTAATTACTTTTTTAGTGACTTTCCTACCAATTACTTTTTTTTAGCTGTCTTGTGTTATGCTATAGAACTGAATCAGGAACACAACCACAGATTTTGAAGTGGAGAATCTTCTTCCTTTAATTAATAAAGAATTAAACTTCAGTAGCAAAAGTCCAGTTAGCAAAAAGAAATGCTGTAACTTTAAATACACTCTCCAGTAAGGATATAGATGGCTGTTGCAAATGAGAAAAGCAGGAATTCAGCTCAGGAAAATACAGTTAGCAGCAGCACTAATAGCAGGAGATAGATAGCATAATCAGGAAAGTTCAATTCCATTAGAAAGAACTTAAAGTTTAGGTAAATAGTATTTTAGAATACTTAGGTTCACTTGGGATTTGAGAAGGCAGCTTGAATGGTAATTCAGTCCGGGTCCATAGGATTGTAGAGTGTGGTATAAACTTTTTAGCAGTCTAAGTTCAGGGTAAGGAGAAGGCAGTGGAATCCGTTTTACAGTCCAGAGGTTCATTACACAATCAGCAATAACGTAGAGGAGCTTAGCAGTCACAAGAAACATGAACGTAACTTACAAAATAACTAAGCACTTCAATTCTGGCATGGCTTCTGTATGATACATGGTTCCCTGCTATACTTGGAAGTGCATCATAACGGAGCCACGGTAACATCTGACACCTTGACTGAACAAGAGATGCAGACCCTTTGTCTATCATGGCAAACGTGGCATCATGGCAAATATGACAAGCTGCTTATTTGCTTTCACAAAACCAAACATAAAAACAGCCTCTTTTATCATGGTACTATAACCGTTAAAAAAGGGTTTCTTCAATGTAAGCAGCTGAAGAAAGATTTAAACTAAAGAGGCAACATATAAACTGGTTAACTGGGTTAAGATGCTTGGACATTTTATAATAAAAAAAGCATTTGCTATATGGCAATTTATAAACCCTTTGAAACTGTAGGTTTCCCTGCTCCTTGGATGATGAGAGGTATCCGTATTCATTAATACATTCAATTTACGGAGCACTTTTGAATTGCGAACATAATTTGGTATCATTTGATATTACCTCAAAAAAAATAATTTTTACATTAATTCCAAAAAGTTTAAGAGTGAAAGTATTGGTCCATTGGAATCTGAGTTAACCAGGAAAGATCAAAGCAAGAATAGCACATGAATAAATGTACTCGCAAGTATTTAGGGAGCTTAGCAGATGTAGTGCCTATATTTAAAATAATTCAAAAGTTCAACCTGAGACCTGTGAACTTAACATCTGTGGTTGGGAAATCATTTGAAGGGCTCTGAAGGGATAATATTCAAGAACTCATTTTGAACTACAATATCAATAGTAGAAATCAATATGGTTTTATGAAAGACAGATAATGCCAAACAAAGTAATTGTTCTTTACAGTAAGAACTATAAATATGTGAAATTCTCTACCCAAAAAGGTTGTCTTCTCAGATTTTACAGATCATTATTAAAAAGGTCTGGATTTTATTTTGCAAAACAGAAAATTAAAGAATATAATTAACATGTGTTTGAACAGGATTTTAATCCAAGGAGAAATCGGATTGCCATTATGGTGTCAAAATCGAATTTATTTCCCTTTTTCTTGCAAATTGGAAATTGCTTCAGTTGAATATTACCTTTTTTGAATCAGTATCAAAAAAAGGAATGGCTTTTAATGATTGAACTTAATGGATTGGAATCATTTCTCACCCTAGATTTCTATTTAAGTATGTTGATTCTTAGGCCTGTTTGTTGCAGCATGTACCAATGAGTCACGAAAGGCCCACAAATATATGTTATGCTTTATTTTATTTAGTTATAATCTACAAGTACTGTGTTCTTTAAGTCTATTTTTATTTTTTATTTATTTATTTTTTTTTTTCAATTCGTATTTTATTTTATTGAACAAAGTCTGGGGTAGGGTGGGGTACAGAAAAGAAGAGGGGAGGGGGAGGTGGATGATAAATACAAATTTCTTTCAGGTTGCTTGTTAGATCTTCTTAAGTACACATGTATATAGACACAGTTTAGCTTGGCACGCATACATATTTGATCTAATGTATCATATTACATAGGTATAGAGATACAAGGGTGCAGTTGGTTACATTTTCGTGTGTTATACAGTACCGTAGCTTGTTGTCACTTGAGTACTTTTACGCCAATTTATGCTGTGTTGTTATTCTGAGTATTTGTTTTGTTGTGAGTGGTACAATATGTCCTATTTTGTGCCCTCTCATCGTGGTGTAAGTCTGTTTACGGGCCTTGAGCGATTAGGATGACAACAACTTATGGTCGTTGGCTTCAATTTATTGTGTCAATCTCTAGTAGCAGTAGTAGTTAATCTCTATTAGCAGTAGTAGTTATGGCCTCGTCTGCGTTCCCCTTAAGAGTTACCCATTCTGTCCATCTTCACCAATTAAGGAGTGTGGTGGAGGTCTGTTTGTGAGTGTGGGCTGTGAGCAGATCATATCGGAGGTATTGCCTAATTTTGTGGTGTAACATTGTGGTGGTAGGACATTCTGTTTGTTTCCAGTGACACGCTATGAGATTGCGGGTTGCTAGGATCATCATCGTTGTCAGGTGTTTGTCCTTGTAAGGTATTGAGTTGGGGTATTGGAGGAAGAGAGTCAGCAGGGGTGTGAGTGATAGTTGTTTGATCCCCAGTTCTTGCCATGTCTGATGGACTTCCTTCCATAGGGGCGTAATGCTCGGACAGTTCCACCAGATATGGGTCATTGTGCCTCGTTCCATCCCACATCTCCAGCACTTGGCCGAGGTGTGGGGGTAGATCCTGTGGAGTTTGTCAGGTGTGTAGTACCACCTGTAGAGTAGTTTTTTATGTGCTTCGACATGTGAATAACAAGCGGTGATACCCTTTAGGGCTTGGAGCGACGCTGTCCATTGCTTGTCTGTGAATGACAGTGCGCATTCTTGTTCCCAGTGCAATCTGTAGTTGAACTCTGGAGGCGGAATTTGATTTCTCAAAGCTGTGTAGCTCAATGAGAGCATCTTCGGTTTAATCGGCGAGTTGTGGCACCTATGGTACAGTAATAGTAGGTCGTGGTCTGTGGGGCTTACTTGCGATGTTGGGGGTGCTACTTTATTAGCAAGTAAGCTTTTAAGATGGAGATATGGGAAGATATAGGATGCTGGTAGGTTATGCGTTTTTTGAATTTCCGGGATGGGTAGTATAGCTCCTTGTTGGCATATGTCCATAATGCGGGTTATTCCAAGTTCTCTCCATTTATCTAGGGACAGCCAGGGTGACACAGTGGTGAGAGCTGTGATGGGAGCCCAGGGTGAAAATTTGCTCTCCGTTGTCCGTGTACGGTGTAAGTGGTCCCAGGTCTGTATCAGGTATTTGGTAAGTGGTAACATGTCTTTGCGTTTGTCCCGAATTTGTTTAGGCGTCCACATATAATTTACCGCTGACCCCGCGGGGTCATAATTGTTTTCGAGATCCACCCATTGTAGTGTGTGGGGTGGTGCGTGTAATTTTATCGCGTTTTCGAGAATCGCTGCTTTGTGGTAAGTTGCTATGTTAGGGAAACCTAGTCCGCCTTCCTTAGTGGGTGTTTGTAGAAGAATCGATGGTATTCTGGGTTTCTTGTTCTCCCATATATAGTTTGTCATTATCGTTTGGATTTGTTTGCTCAATGTAGGGGAGAGAGGTATTGGAAGCATCCTAAATACATAGAGCAGTTTCGGGAGTACAATCATTTTTATGGCATTAATCCTGCCTAGCCATGATAGCATGACATCTTTCCACTTGTGCAGGATCTGTTTGCACATGTGTGGCATTGTGGAGTAGTTTAGTGTGTTAATTCCTCTATATGTGGCGGCTATTTTCACCCCTAGGTATGTTACATGGGTCTGTCTCCAGTCAAACAAGTATAGCTTTTTTAGCGCTTGTATGGTTGTGACAGGAAGACGTATGGGAAGTGCTTGGGTTTTGGCCTGGTTCAATTTATAATAGGAAATTTTGCCGTATTCTTCCAATGTGCTCAGAATGTGCGGTAGGGAATGTTCTGGTCTCGTAAGGGAAATAAGGATATCATCTGCGAACATGGACAATTTGTAGTTTGCTTGTTTTACGGGGATTCCCTCTATGTCTATGTGGGTTCTAATCTTGTAGGCCAAAGGTTCAAGGGAGAGTATAAATAATAGAGGTGAGAGTGGACATCCTTGGCGAGTGCCGTTGGTGATGTGGAAGGGGTTCGAGATAAAGCCTGTGTTCGTGACTTTAGCGGATGGCTTGGAGTATAGTGCCATTATGCCCGTAGTAAACGAGCTTGGGAAGCCAAATTTTAGAAGTACTTGTTCCATGTATTCCCAATTGAGCCTATCAAAGGCCTTTTCGGCGTCTAATGCCAGCAGGAGGCCCTCTGTTTTGCGTGTTTCCATGTGAGCTAGGATATTGAGAATTTTCCTCGTATTGTCTGACCCTTGTCTGTTTTTGGTGAAGCCTGATTGATCATTATGAACTATGCGATTTAGTATGTTTGTAAGGCGGTTAGCTAAAATTTTTGCGTAAATTTTTGTATCGCAATTGAGTAGAGATATGGGTCGGAAATTCTGGCAGATCGTCGCTGGTTTGCCTGGCTTCGGGAGTGTTGATATGTGTGCCTGTAGCATTTCCGGGGGCATTTTGCCTATGGTGTAGTAGTGGTTTAAGAGCTTGGAGAGGTGCGGGGTGAGGGTTTCTGCGAAAGTTTGGTAGTACAAATTGGTAAAACCATCAGGGCCTGGGGACTTGTGAGGGGGTAATTTCAATATTGTGTTTCTCAGTTCTTCCTCTGTGATTGGTTTAGTAATTGTATCACTTTCTGGGTTAATGTAGGTAGTGTTACTGTATCTAAGTACTCTCGAACTTGTGCTTTGGTCGGTGTGGTTGTTGTGGGATCATCTTTGAGATTGTATAATGAGCTATAGTATTGCGCGAATTCCTCTACTATGTCCTGTGGGTTCATGAGTTTCTTGTTCCCTTGTGTCTTAATGTAAGCTATTTTAGTGTTGGCCGTACGGGCCCTTAACTTGGACGCAAGAAGTTTGCCCGATTTATTCCCTTGTGCAAAGAATTTATGCTTATACTTCTGGAGGATGTAGTTGGTTTTGTCTAGTTCAAATTCATTCAGTTGTGCTTGTAAAGTTCTCAACTTGTTATAATGTTCTGGCGATGGGTTCGTCTTGTGTGTGTGAGGATTGTTATTTGTTGGATCAGGGTATTATATATGTGTAGTCTTTGCTTCTTGGCGTAACTAGCATGTTTGATGAACAAGCCCCTGAGCACGGCTTTGTGTGCACGCCACAGTGTATCTACGGAAATATCTGCGGTAGTGTTTGTGTTGAAATATGCTTCTAGTTCTGTTTTTATTTGTCTGGTAATTTGGGGGTCGCGCAGTAGAGATTCATTCAGGCGCCATGGACCGCGCCCTTTGGTGGGGAATCGAGTTGACATGGTAAGGGTAATCGGTGCATGGTCCGACCACGTAATGGTTGCTATGTTGGTGGATTGTATTGTTGGGATTGTTGTGTTGTGTATGAGGAATCTATCTATTCTTGAGTAAGAGTTATGTACTTGGGAATGGAAAGTGAAATCCTTTTCGGAAGGGTGTAGGATTCTCCATATATCCAGAAATCCCGAGTTGGTCAACTGTGTTTTGGCAGTGGTCGAGGATGTGGTACGTTTAGTCTTCGTTCTTTGCGTAACGTGGAGGGTAGAGGAGGTATCCAATTGTTCGTCTAAAATAAAGTTTGTGTCGCCCCCTATGATTGTCGTCCCAAATTGGTATGTGTTTGCTAGTGTTAGGATTTTGTCTAGATATGCTTTTTGGTTATCATGTGGGCCGTATACATTTATAAAGGTGTATGGAACATTGTTTAGAAGGCATTGAAGCAGAAGGAAGCGTCCCTCTTTGTCCCCAATTTTCTTGTGCAAGGAAAAAGCCACATCTTTGCTAAAGAGAATGGAGACTCCTCTCTTCTTTTTTGAGTAACCAGTGTGATAACCTATCGGTTAGTCTTTTGAGGAGAACTTGGGTAGTTTGGAGGTTAGGAAATGGGTTTCTTGGAAGAAAGCCACGGCGGCTCTCATCCTTTTAGCTTCTTCGAGAGCTAGCCTCCTTTTGTGTGGTGTATTTAGGCCTTTTACATTGAGTGAGAGAACTACTAACGCCATGGAGAAGTAGCGGGGACCCTCTTCTGCCCGCAGTGTGATGTGGGAAAAGTAAGGTGCGCTTTTCGAGTCTGAGTCTTGTTCTGGATAGCCTTGAGGAAGCCTTTATGTAGTGCGATCTCGCCTACGTTAACTCTATCATGGTAGCGAGTATCTAAGGTTAGCAACCTACAGTTATTGGTATTAAATGGGGTATGGGAGGGGGGTCGGGGGTGTAAAGGGATAACTCCCCACCGGGGAACTATGTACAAAAGATTGGTCAGATACTGTATATCAGACCACAACGAGGTCCTTGTCGGCCCTATGGAGCCACAATGGGGGAGGGTGTCTTTGTGGGTATTAACCGCCCATATTGGCGTTGGTATTAGCTTGGAATGCCATATAGCCTGCCTCTGAGGAAGTGGAAACTGGTAATCATCTATCATCTACACATTAGTTTGTGACTGAGGGCTATGTGTCTGTTATGCTAGGTATTCTATTAACCACATACTAAGCATATATAACAAAAAACATTGCAAACAATTATACAGACATGTAGCATGCTCACGTATCTAATCGGTACGAAGATGCATTAGGCTGGGCTGCGCAGCCTGATGTGTTAACCTTAGTCTCATGTCACTTATGTTTTGTCCCAGCGGACCAGTCCTTAGAGATTTTTGTGGGCGACTTGGTGGTTCTGCTTGCTGAATCTTTCACGTCTGGAGGTTTGATGTGTAAATTCCAGTCGCCTAGTAGTCGGGTTCCTTCATCTACCGATTGTATTTGGTGTTCCACTCCATTTCGCCTCACGATGATGCGTGTTGGATAGCCCCATTTATATAGGATATCTGCATCCCTGAGTGCCTGGGTGATTGGTGACAGTGCTTTGCGCTTAGCCAGGGTTGCTGCAGAGAGGTCCACGAATAGTTTCATGCCTCGGAATTCAGCTGGGATGCTGTCAGGGTTCCTTGCTGCTCTCAGTACTGCTTCTTTAGAGGTGAAATAGTGGATGCGTGTAATTACATCCCTGGGCGCAGTTGCTGCTAAGAATTTAGGCCGCGGCAGGCGGTGGATACGGTCAAGGCACAGGTCGGCGTCGCTGAGCTGTGGGCAGAGGGCCTTGAATAGGCCTATGGCATAGTCCCTTAGTTCAGAGGGTTTGATTTCCTCTGGTATGCCGCGCAGACGAATATTGTTGCGTCTGTCGCGATCTTCCTGGTCCGCTATCTTAGCCTCCAGGAAGGTAAGTAGGTTTTCCAGGGTTTCCCAGGTTGCGGCTAGGTTGTTATGCGCGTCAATAATTTCCTCTGTTTTATCCTCTAATATGGCGGTGCGCGCACCTATCTCTTTAATGTCTGCGCGGACGTCCCGGGCCAATTTAGCGAATTCTGCTTGGAGATTTTGCTGTAGCTCTTGGAGCATGCGGTGCAGAGCCGTTTCTGAGACAGGAGCTGCGTTGGTATGGGAGATGGATGTGCTGTCACTCCCTTCAGAGCATGCTGTGGGTGAGTCAGGGCCTCCGGCGCCATCTTGTGCTCTGCTGCGCGGCGGTGTGAGAGCCGATATTTGGAGGGCTGTAGGGCGTAATTTCGTTTTTTTTTGCGCTCTGTGGGACATGATGGCTTGGGCTTGTCAAATAAGCCGTTTGTGAGTCGGTCTGGGCGGTTTGCGCTCGTCAATTCGTTGCGGTTTGTTGCACCCTCGTCGGAGCTAACAGCTCACACGTCTGTGTCCATGAGCTGCCAGGCCACGCCCCCCATTTTTTTTTTTTTTTTTAAATGTGCAGTCTATCATATTTATGTTATTTGAAGTATATTTCTATGAATACAAATT